TTCCTAAACAATCTGTGTTTAGTTTTATGATCACATTCAGGATAAATAAAGAGCCAAAGCGACCCGAAAACCCTATGATGATGCACTGCGTAACAACAGGCCGCATCCCCCGAACACTGTACGCTACCTGAACAGCTCGGCACGGTCCCCATGTCACACAGGTACAGGCTGCGCTCAGGTGCGCTGACGGCACGTATTCCTGTTGTAGAGTTTTGCTGTCGGTATTCCAGATGCGCAGTCTCCCGTCCTGTGCGCAGAGAGCCAGGAACTGCTGTGATTTAGGGCTGAAGACGCAGGGTAGCGCAGCACGGCCTCCGTCCGCCGCCATCTTACCGCGTGCGTCCGTCTGCTCGGGTAACACGTGTGAGAGAAAATTGGATAGCGCGCATGCGCAGCTGCACAGGCGCAGGGGCAACGTTAATTGGCCCCGCTGGGTTCTAGGGGCGTTCCAGTATTGTTATTAACCAATCACAGACGGTTGCGGAAGTTTCATGGTCGAGTTTTGTTATCTAGTAAGTTAGTGGAATTTGAAAGTGAAAATTATCTTTGGAAGTTCTTATCAGATGCATATCTGAAGTGAATACGTTTTAGTATATAGTACCTAAACTAATTAGACTTCACTTTAAAGTGCCATTATACGCACCTACTATCAGTGTAAAACTTTAACTTAAAAATAAATAAATAAATACATACATAAACTCACCAAAATGTTAATAACATTTACTGGACACGGCTGCACATTTATTTTGTACCTGTAATTATTCGAAAGACATTGTGGGTCATATATCTTTATGTATATTTAAAGCTTAAAAAAAAAAAAAATATATATATATATATATATACATATTTTTAATCTAAGTTTGGCTCTGCCTTTAGTAACTTAATCACACTTTAGTTTGGGGACCAATTCTCACTATTAACTAAATATTAACTATGGCATGAAAAATAGGGATTTTATTTGCCCTTAACCCTGTTATTTTTTTGTCAGTATTAAGGTGCGTTCACTGATTCTACCTTCTCTCTTTTCTCATTCTTTTCTTTTGAACTGAGTTGGCTACACATGCTTACATTCATAAATTTAAACTTTATTTCTAATTTATTTCATGAGTTTAACTTTATTAATTTTCACAATTATTTATTCATGTCACACACACCTACCTAGTGCCTTTTGACTTAAATAAAAGACGAGACTGGTAAATGTTACGGACATATTATCATGGAACTGTTCAGTCTATTATTGATTTTTATTTCCACTTCACTTTTATCCAAAGAGACGGAACTATTTGCACTGTATTTATCAATGGGACAATATTCATACAATACTAATAGGCTACCTAGAAATAATCTGTCAGCATACTGTAACTCGCATTAAAGGGGTCACTTGCAAGTCGCAGCAGCACGAATTATGTGCCCAGCAAAATCTGATTAAAATATTATGCGTAATTAACAGTGAGTGGTGGTTTCAGACATTATAGTGCCGCACTCGTACTGACTCTTATTCTGCCTGAAAGAATGAAAAGGCCGTACTGAAGGCGGAGCGATTCGACCAATCAGATGAAAGGAGCGTTTCAGCGCCGCCCACACGTGCGAATGAAATATTGAAGCCATAAACCGATTTTTAAACCCCAAACGAAAAATGAGAAATCGAGCCAAAATCTAATTTTCCGTTTGTTAAACTAAACGGAAAAACGAATAAACGAGCCGTTTTTCCATTTCTCGTTATTATATTCCAAATAGGAGATGAAATGATCAAAACGTACACGGACCATATAAGCCTCATAAATAGTAATATTTTCTTCTTTTAACGATCTGTGTTATAAGGAATGTTGAATCAGGAAAATAACAAAAGCCTGTAATGATAAAAAGAAGAAAGAAACCATCTACTGGTGAGCAGGCTGTACTGCATCTGTCAGTGACGTCCTTTCCGTCGTGGCGGCGCCCTGCGAGAATCATGATTGCACTTGTTTTTCTTCTAACAAAATGGACTCAAGTTAATTTGCCACTTAAATTAGTATCTAGCCAGACAATAATTATATATCGAATTACTTGACAGGTCGTTTGAAATGATCTATTTACTACCAATTTGTTTGACTTTGTATTTTACAAAGGTTGTTGAATAGAGGTAATCTGTAGTGAATTAGCCTATATAATGCATGATTTGTCTGTTTCTACCAATATGTCTATTCTGTTCAGTGTAGAATCGCTCAAGTAGCTGCTGTGTGTTTTTTCTGTTCACTGCGTGGTGAGAAGAACAAAGTCCTCGAAGTGTCATCTTCATCCTTCAAGTCATTCTCTGTGGAGGCTAAAAACCATGACAGTTCCTCCACATTTGGGTCTTTCAATCATGACTTGTAAATTTGCCAAAGCCAGTGTCATATGTTTGGAGAGACATAATGTGGTTCGCATTAAACCATTTCTCTGTGGTCTGAGAAACTTTGGGACTGGCCCAAATGATTCCGACAGAGACGAGAGTGGTTCAGATGCTCCTGCGTCCACTTTCCCACAGTTCTCCCGAAGAGCTTCTTTGTATGGAAGGCGTCGACCTCTGCCCCCACTGGAGAGGGTCAGTCAGCTTCTGCCTGAAGACAGATTAAGTCAAGAGGTTTGGGATCTACGGGACACTAGAAACACTGAGGTGGAACAAGACAGCCAGAGTCTGGGGAAGGAGCGAGAAGAAGCAACAGAGGAACCTCAAGGATCTTTGGCTCCACATCACGTGTGGGTTCCTGGGGAAAGCCCAATATGTTTTGGAGAGACTCTGCTGGCAGAGTTCCGTCGAAAGAGACGTTTAGAGTTTCGGAAGATGTTCCAGCTAAAGGAGGGACTGAAGCTCCATAGTAACTGGGGATTAATAGCTCATAATGACATGGAGGGGCGTCCTGCTGGAAGCATCATATATACGCACTTCAATGGGAATCCCGATTGTCATTCGCCGACCCAGCCTTGATGAGTTCACTCTCTTCATGAAGAGAGGGCCAGCTATTGCATACCCGAAAGTAAGAAATAAACATCACAAAACAGCAGTCATTCATCTACACATTAATGAATCATTGATATCTGCACTCTTATCACACAGGTGATGCTTATTAAATCCGGTAATTTATTAGAAAATCCATTAAAAATGCAATGCATACATGCAATGACTTGAACACACCTTTTCTATAATGAACATGCTTTTACTTTCTTTATTAAATTAATTCGGGTGTTTGTTTTTGTTTAGTTCAGGTTGTAAAATGTTTTGTGGTGGGAAACTATGGGATGATATTAGACTCAAAACGATTAATAGATGCACGCACAATTATCCATGTACTGCATAAATTTTATACATGTATCTTACTAACCACAAACAAATGCCTTTCAATTTGAGTCTGACAGCATTTCACGTCCCCCACACACACAACTACCAACGAACAAGGCCCAGTGCAATTCATTAACGTGTAGCCTACACGCTTTGAAAAATTCGCAAATGTGCATCACTACACTGAAACAAATGCTTTTCAACCGGTGTCTGCAGAGTTAAGAATTACATTAATGTGCAGCATTTTGTTCAAATAAGAGACATATTTGTGAATACAAATTATATGTTATATTATATGTTATAGTTTGTATTAAAGTATCATGATTTGTGCATGCAGCGATTAAAATGTGCAGAGGCTCAGCTGCGCGTGGATCGCGAGCTCTGTGTGTGTGGATTGGGCAAGGCTAAAAGGGTGGAACCAAAGTCTCAAAATTCAAATGAATCAAATAGAATCGACTCAGAAGTCAAGTCAAGTCAAGTCACCTTTATTAATGAATTGCACTGGGCCTTGTTCATTGGTAGTTGTGTGTGTGAGGGACGTGAAATGCTGCAAACTGTGAAAATTAAGACTCAAAATCCAAATGAACTGAACAAGATCGACTCGAACTAGACATCAATTAATGAACACGTGTCACCTGATCCACATATGCACAGATTCCTTTTTGCATGAGCAATTTATGATATATTAATGCAGAACAGAAAATTTTTATTCGCAAACATGTCTGTATTTGTAAAAATCGCTGCACAATCATTTAATCCTGAATTCCACAGACTCAAATTTAAAGGTATTTGTTTGTGGTTAGTAAGATACATGTATAAAATTTATGCAGTACATGGATAATTGTACGTGCATCTATTAATCATTTTGAGTCTAATATCATCCCATAGGAAACTCACCAAAATATTTTGATGTGTTTATGAACTAATAATTCATGATATTTGTAAAATAACTTGAAAAATAAAAATAATATATCTTGGAAAATATATTTAAAATCTATTTTAAAAAGCCTTTTAAATTGTTACAAAAATATATTTTAAATAAATGCTGTTTTTTTTTTTTTACTTTCTATTAATCAAAGAATCCAAAAAAGGTATTATGGTTTTCACAAAAATATTAAGCAGCACAACTGTTTTCAACTGTGATAACAGTAAGAAATGTTACTTGAGCATCAAATCAAGTCAAATTGTAGTTACATTTCATATAATGTACATGCATTTAAGGTGTTGGGAATTTTTTTTATTGCTTTTTACTTGATGGTTACATTATGGCAATGAAAACAAAAGATTCTCTTGGATCTCTTTCCTCTGCAGGACGCCAGTGCGATGTTGACCATGATGGATGTGTCCGAAGGAGATTGTGTTCTGGAATCAGGCTCTGGAGCTATGAGCCTCTTCCTGTCCAGAGCAGGTGTGTGATTCCTCCTCTGTCTTCTTGGTATTCATATACAGCAATATAATGATGAGTCACGTGATTATGAGGTTATGGGTGATATTGTCCTGCACAAGTATGTATTTTCAAACTGTTACAGGTATACTAGTGCAATAATCACTGTCTGTGTCATCATCAGTGGGTTATAAAGGAAGTGTGGAGATAAGAGAGGACCATCACAGATGTGCTGTATTAAACTACCAGCGTTGGCGGTCCTCATGGAGTCTTCGGCGAGAATTCTTTCATAAAATGGTAATTTATCTAATGTTTACATAGTGCTTACCTTTTGTTTTACTTCATAAAGGAGTCACAGATTGAGTGCTATTACACAAAAATCCAAACATCAGTGCAAATTATTCACAGATAGAATTAAATCATACTCTATTTAAGGGGATTTGAATTGTCAAGATCCGGTGGCGTTTGGAGATGTCCCGTACATTGCACGTCCTCATCCTGAACAGACTGGCCATACTGGGGAGTAATCTCCGCATTTTTTGTGTGTAGTTCAATGTTTAATGAGAAACACTAGTAATCCTAAACCACTTTGTATGTGATTGTGCATGAAGGTATTTTTAAGAATCCTATTGAAATGTCTGATTTGGTTTCTTTTCAGCCTTCCTCGTTAAATTACGAAAGATCTTGAAATAGATGTTCCACATTTAATGTATGCAAGAGGACAACAAAGCTACTGTGTCATATGCTGTATTAATAAACTTGTACAATAAAAAGACATTTAATTGCATTTTCCTTTCATGCTCTTGTGTGTTTAAGCCAAAATATAGTGAATCTATCTGCTCCATTCATGGACTAAATTTCATAGGTGTTTATTCATATTTATATCAGCCAGATGTTATACTTATTTAAGACACAGACTTAATAATCCTGCCATGTTTAACTCCTAAACATTTCATTCACACTTATGTCTAAGACATAAGAGAGTAACAAAGTGCGCACTAGAGAAATAGCAAAGTACTTTGCACAACAATTAGAAATAAATAGTGATGAGGATTATGATACAGTAAAATACATGTACAAACCTTCACACAATATTTTCTGACATTCTTTACATCTTAAATGAACAATGTACATGACTATTACCCTATTCACACCAAAGCTGTACATTTCTCAGGTCAGTTTAGAGACTGAAATTCTTTTGTGGCCCTCAGACAGCTGAAATGCCTCTGATATGGTCAACAGGCATCAATGATCTGTTTGCTGTTATGCAATCAAGCTACTCCTCACTGATCCAGTCCATTGAATGATCTTGACATGCATCTCTTCCTGTAAGCGTGCCTATAAAAAGAGAAGAAAAGCCAATGGTAAATTTACAGAGGCACTGATATGGATCATATAATTTCAGCTGAGGCTAAAGAAAATGTACCGAGCTATCATGAAAAGTAGTGGCACACATCATAAATATCCGGTAACACCACTAGAGGACGCCACACACTCATTTACCTGATTTAGTCTTACAATTACAGGTGTGCTGAGCTTTGGTCTTCTTACTAGGCCCATGTGAAGCTTGGGCCTTGTGTGCAATGGTCTCCAGTGGCACAGATGAAGAGTGGGCTCCAATAGAGGATGGACGAGGCACGGGAAGAGTAGAGGTCTTGGCACAGAGAAAACAAGGCTCTGGCGAAGCAGAGGGCCCACGGGGAATGAGGATCTCCTCACGGTTATGGTACAGTCTCTGAGCTCCACTGTGATGCTCTGCACGCTCGCGCTGCCAGATTAAGTGAGATGGCACAATAGCCATTACCTAAAATCATGCATCAAGCACAACATGATTGAGCCATTTTTCAGAACCAGCAACCTATAAAATGCTTTATAGTACGTTTAGTGAACTGCGTACCTCCTCACAGCATTGTCTGCTGACAGCCGCTCTGTACTCTATGCGTGCCCACAACTGGTCTCTTTGTTTTAGGAATCGTGGGAAATGTTTCCTCCAGCTCTTTCCCAGAGCCCAGGGGAAGATCTCATATTTGGTTTCCTCCTCATCCTCTTCCATAGTGTTTGCCAGATAGCTAGAGTATGAAAAATTGAGCACTTGGACTGTAGGAATTAAGGCTGTATTCATAAATAGGACTTTTCTGTCATGCTCATAACATATTGCAGTTCAACTGAAAAACTTTAAAATTAACAACTCCAAAACCAAGTGCAACACCTATACACTGTAAATATAGAAACCTCTCAAGTTACCTCACCTCCTATAGTGAAAAACTATAAATGGTTTAACAACACATTATATGTAATTGTAATGTAAATACTGTGATATTAGTAAAAAAAATTATGAATTACCATAAAATTTAGTGAAAACAGTAAAAAGGCATTCCTATTCGGATGTGTCCATTCATGACACATCACATATTTTATAGAAATAGTTTTGTTCATTAATTTGTTATTAGTAATGTAGGGTGTTTTATGTTATGTTTTGCATTGTTTTAAGTGCTTGTGAACTTGTAAATCATACAGACTTCCTGTAAAACTAGAAACACTATTGTATTGTTTACAGTGAATTCCTGCCAACCACAGCTGCCAGTTTTTCACCATAAATGTAACGGGTTTTTTTTTTTTTTTTACAGTATACAGAACGTCCTCAGAGTAATCAACTCACAGGCCAAGGAAGAAGTTCATTCTACTGTGTTCAGTGATACTGAAGCGAGCCCTCCTGAAGTACACAAATGTCATAGCCAACAAATACTATATGAAAATAAAGACACAGATTAGAGACACAGCTGCCTATATACATTTTTCTAAATTCAAAACGGTCCACAATCGAAAAACCACTAAATATTAAATGCACCAAAATATGTCTTGCTACCTTGTCTGTAAGTTTACAGCAGCAGTCCATCCACAGAAAGTCCTGTATTAGATCATCATCTGAGCAGACAGCAAATCAAAAAGGTTTTATTCTAGACAATTATATATATATATATACTGCAGGCCATGGGATGGTGTGGTCCTGAAGTGGGCTCCATGCATGTGCAATGCGGCGCGTGAGTCTCTTCTCTGTATTTTCCCATTATTTCTTTCATTTCAACACAATCAACAGCACACCTGAAAAAACGATAGGTGCGTAGGAAAAAAGGTCCAACAAAACTGTCATGTCCAAAATATAAAAAGATGCAATCCCGCACACTATCAATTCTTGCTAAATATTGAAGTTTAATGACAAAAGCAACGTTGGACCGAAACGTTGCTTTTGTTAATACACTTCAATACTTTTGTTAATAAAGTTCAATACTGTTGCTAATAAACTTCAATATTTAGCTAGAATTGATAGTGTGCGGCATTGCATCTTTTTATATTTTGAATTAAGCAAGTAAAAAAATAAAACTGGTGTTTTGCGGGATGCACAAGGTGACATTTAGTTAAGCTTTCACTGGCTGCTGTTCTGCTGAACCCACCGAACAGTCTGAAGAAGGCGGCCATCTCCTGCCTCTGGATCAGCAGGGTCGGCCCGGGCGTCTTCCTGCGAGGCTGATGAGCGGAGTCAGGCTGGTTCCGAGCCGCTGGATTCGGCCTTGTTCTCCGCGGGCCGCGCCGGATCTGCAGGCTGTGAGCAGGTCCAGACGGTGCGGTTTCTGCCCATGGTCGGCTCAGTTTAATCATGTTTCAGCGATTAAATCAGCCGATATTACAGAACTGCCACTGTGTACATATTATAATTGAACAATTATTTGATATTTTAGTAATGACGTGCGTATTTATGTTATTCCTGTTTGTTCATAATCCCAGATATTTTCTAAATATAATTTAACGTAGTCTTAAAATCTATCACCCAAATAGATAAAAATGACTCTTAGCACTCCTATATAACTAAAAATTAAGCTTAAATGTTTATATGCTTAACTTTATGTGGTTATGATAATGTTTAGCCCTATATGAGTGAGTTTTCACCTGTAAACAACATTTACCTCAGTTTTAAAAACAGCGGCTCAGTAATTAAGACACGCGCATGATTTCACGCGCTCTCAGAGATGTTTAGATCGACTACTGGAGAAGGCAAGATTGCAGTTTAGCGGATGTGTATAACATTAATGATAATTTAAAGGTGAATTAAAACAAAATCAAAATGTTAAATATTTCAAACTGGACGTCGCGCGATCGCGCACGTGCACTTCCTCTCCCTTCCCGGGCAGCGCGGGAATTGTGTCAGCAGTCACATGGTCAAATATTCTTCAATCAGAGGTCAGAACACTCAAGAAAAGCTCAAGTTGGTTATATCTAGGAAGATATGTCCTACATGTCCTATTAAAAACCTTGCTGTTTTATTCATAAAAAGTTTTTCAGCAAATGCAAATAAAATCTAGTTGTATCATTCAAGTGATTAGTGAACAAGTAAACAAAATATGGACGAGAAGCAGTAAATTATCAAATAAACAAATGTATTACATCTTTGTTGGTTATTAGATTTTGCTTATGATGGTTTAGACAGCGTATAATGCACACAATATTCTAGAAAAGTAACACTGCATTGCCTGCATTGGAAAAAAATGTATAGCAACATCAAACAGACCACAGACTGATTTATTGAAATATTTGGAAAAAAAATTTGGTTCTTCAGAACAGAGCAATAAAATTTATTTACACATGCTCAAATGGTGACAGGTTTGTTCGCTATTACCAGGAAACAGTAGATTAAGTATCAGCAATTGGTATTTATATGCACTGTGCTCACAGATGTGTTCAAGGATTTTCATTGCTTTGCACACTGCCTTTATTTCCTGAAAGAAAACACATTTAATTAAAGGTTGGCCAGGCCTTTTCAAGTAAAATATCTGTACAATTTAAGTAAAAGAAAGAGTTTTAGTTCACCTTTTTAATCTCATGGAAAACCACACCCTTGATCTCATGAATTGACTTCTTGCAAACCCAGCACATAATGGTGTTCATATCGGACTTCTGGGGATGGTAAAAATGTAAGAAATGCATTAATTAATAATTAAAATCTATTGCATTACATTATGCATCAGTTCACCTCTATGTTCAATTCGTGACTCATTTTGACTTCTTTGGGAAGGTTCAGCTCATTTCTTTCCAGCATGCTCTTCCATTGTGCCTTGTTAATGCTGCTGCACCCAACAAGAACTGAACCACAAAAAACAGATTACTCTTGTGAGCAGAATTTGATTAATATTATACTAATAATAAAGTAAATGCAAATCAATAAACGAGCCATATAAGAAAATTTAAGTTGAATTCAATTAGTTCTTCAGACTCACCTGAGCATGCAATAAGCAGTCCAAAATGAACAACAGGTGACATTATTCTTCAAATCCTCTACTTAATAAGTCGCTTAGCTAAAACACTGAACACTTTTCTTTAAGAGTTCAGGTGATTTTCAGTTCAAGTGAAACTGAATCTGTCTCTCTTGTGTTAGTCCTCTTCACAGTTATGAAGAACGTTGAAGATAATAAATGTCTATGCAAGTCTTTTGGAGTGCTGATGTTCAGGGCACCAAAACCACTGTGGACCAAAGTGTCAAGCGTGTTTTCATAAGAGCTCCGGTCAGCATTTTCTGCACTGACTGTCTCTTCAGTTCACCTAACCATCAGTAATATTGTACCTGAATTCTTGAATCAATTGATTTTTCATGTATTGAATTAAAGCTGGTGTACAGATATTAAATCACTAAATGACACTAGTAAATGGCTAAATAACAATCAGTATTATTAGACTTTTTGTTTCAGATGTCAGTTATTTGCTTCCTTTTCTCTTAATGCAAGTGAATTTTAGATGTATTTAAAACACAGAATGAATCATCTGCTCATGCTGCTTTTTCATTCAGAATATTTATTAGCTCATGCTTCTGCCAAAACAAACAAGTGAACAATCTTATCTAAAGATCTGATACTTTGATTGACTCGTTAGTTTAGGTTTAATCAGTCCTTTAATTTGCACAATTTGTACTTAATGCAGGATTGGTGAGGGGATAGTCTTGGGAAAAATCCTTTAAAAACTTTTTTTTTTATGATTTTGGCAAGCGATTTACATGGTTTCCAGAGAAATAAGTTGGCACGGCATACAGCATTTATTTTCTGAGTGAGGAAACAAAGATAGTTTTAATAAAGTAAATTTACATTAGTACATCATTTACTGTGAACCGTTTCAGAGAGAGAATTAATAACAGAACTGTAACCATAATATGACTACTAATAATAATACCAAATGCAATTTCCATGTATGGCTTATAAAATTACATTCATAAACATGTTTAAATAATAATGACTAAAATGCATCAATATTGAGCTTTGTTCGAACAAAGAATAAAAATAAAAAACAGATTCAGGAAATAACTGAGTAAAAATGTACCTTGTCAATCAGAGCATTTATCATGGGTAAATATTTCGCTAGCGTTTTCAAACATATACAACATTTTATGGCGATCTAGAAAGAGAGATTACAATTAGATGCAAATAAAAATAATAAAGAGTGGTGATCAAGGGGAATGTATATGCCAAACTTATTATCTTCAACTTTACCACCACACTAACACGAACTGTATAGTGTACAATATTTTACCTTTTAAAAAAAAAAAAAAGCATGTTGAAGCTTTATGATACACAGATTCACAGATTTTACCTTGGAAGGATTACAATCATCCTCATTGTCATGGGAGGTGACTGCTTGTAGCATCTCATGAATGGCCTCATATGGAGAACTCTCAGCAGCAGCTGCACAAAATTTAATTTCATATAACTACATTAAAAATCAAAATACAATCCTGCTTTAATATCCCACTAAAGTTCTAAAATCTTACCAAAGAGAATCATAAATGATCCAACGATACAGGCTAGATACATTGCAGTTCCTTTTTTTGTAATTTGTTTATTTCAAAGTGACAGTGCACTTTAACCGTGTTTTGTCTTTGGTTTTGCTGATGTGTGCACAGACAAAACTGTCAAATGTGTGAAGTTAAGTCAGTTAAACCCTCATCTAACACTTCATATGTTCTTATGATGTAACAAAAGTATTCAGATGCTGATCACTATTATTATATTAGCCTCTTTGCATTCTGAGTCAAATTCCTTATAGTATAATGTTAAACCTCATTTGTCTGAAAACTGCAATCCTGTCTGATAGTTCAGTGCTAAATTCCCAAGGTCAGAAACTTCAACAGTGTTCAAAGTGTGTTTTACAGTAGTGTCCCCTAACAGTAAATGACACTATATAAATGATGATTTTACTAGGGGTGAACTGTTCTTTTAAATAACAGCCTTAAAACTCTCCAATACCCAAAGTGGAACTGTGTGACTGAGAATGACAAGGAAACAAAATAATCAAGTTTAAAGTGTAAAGCAACTTTTTGAAAAAACAAAAAACAAACAATTGTTACAGAATTGCATATTTTTCAATTTATTTAAAATTTAAATTCATGTACTGTACAATCTTTACAAATCATTTGGCTATTATGACATTTGACTCTTCAGTACAATAAACATCCATCCATTAGAACATTTTAAAGGCATCTCTTAACTGCATTTCTCGATCTTTTCATTTCTGCGGTTACATAGCCTCAGCACTCTGCACGTGCCCATAATAGTACGTCCAGGAAAAAGCACTCTCATTATTGCATTTTTGTAACGGTTTGCTACAGAATAGCAGAGGGGACGGAAAATAGAAATCCATTTACGGCAGGTTTTATTGATTTCCTGAACAACATAAATAAAAACAGAAGACCCAATAGCTGAAAAACATTCAAAGTCAATGAAAAAAATTTATATGCACACTTAAAATACAAATAGACATGGCAGTGAATTGATATCAACTAGCACTTATTTATTTTCTCAAATAGTTAAAAACAATTGTTAATGTAAAAACATTTCAAATGGGCTTGTAACAGTCAATGTAAATGTATCCCTTCAACAGCCATTGCCACAGTTGTTACGAGCATAACTTTATCTTCAAACATGTGCCCCTTGGACTCCCACCAGGGAAGAGCTTGTGCAGTATGATGTCCCGATATCTCACTGCACGTTGAAGGCAGATCTTTCGAAAAGCCTCAATGAATTTGTAACAGACATAGTTTATCTTCTGTAAAAGAACAGGAAGAAAACTTTTGTTAGCCAAAAATTAAATTTCATCATGTTTTTTATTTTCATCTTTATTTCCCTTTTTTTTATCAATATGATGTGTATTTTTGTATTAAACAATTGTCTTGAACATTGTCTTTCACGAATGTAATTAAAAAGATGCCCTTTCATGGCACAAGCTGTTGAGTGAATAAATTCACATTGATGTTACTTCTCACTATTTTCTTATAATACTCTGCTGTAACTCTTAAAGTATGATCTTAAAGTATAATCACTCATACTTTACTCCAGATTAAGATATTACATTTGAGCTCAATTATTGTAAAGTAAGGCTTTTATTGTGAATTGTTATTTTGACTCATCATTATAATTGTGTAAATGTCATGATGATCCTGCTTTACATAATGATTAACTGTCATTAGAGCCATTAGAAACATTATTAGTCAGACAACTGAATGTTACCTGTTGCATCTTTTGATAGACTGCGGTCTTAGCCTGTTTTATAGCCTCTTGGCACACACAACAGAAGATGATGTTCGGCCGAATTTTCTGAATGTGAGGGATGGGGAACGAGGTCAAAAAATAAGAAAAATTATATTCAGTGATTTGAATGACATCTTGTGAGTTTTATGCTAAATGGACATATTAATGAATGAGTATTATTGGCAAAGTGTTGTACATACCGATAAGTCATTCCCATAGCCGTCCATCAAACTGTTGAAGGTTTCAGAATGTGAAGGCATCTCTGGATCCCACCAAACAGAAAGAGCTTCATTTTCACTCTTTGCTAGGGCTTTTCAAGAAAAGAAAATGATAAAATCATTATTTTAATTCACATGAACTGAATGCTGATCAAGTTCTCATAACATAGTATATACAGTAAATCAAAGACTTTACACAGACCCAAGATTTTCAGGAATATTGCAATTGGATCTTACCTGAGCAAGAGATCAGAAAAACAAAATATATGCTTGGTAACATGGTTTCAGATGCTTTTAAAATAATCAGGTACTGATTCTTTCTCAATTTCCTATTTGTTTTCTTTAGCTCTCTCTCTCTCTCTCTCTCTCTTTCTCTCCCCCTTCACTAAGAAAAGCTACAACTGACCAGTGTAGTGTGTAAACCAA